TCCTCCGCCACGTTAGGTTCCACAACCTGACAGACGAGGCGGTTGAGCAGGATTCGGGCAATCAGCTTGCCCACACAATTCAGCAAGTTGATGCCACGATAATTCGTGCAACATTGCTTGCTACCTTTGCCCTTGTACAGTGGTAGCACAAGGGCATCCTTCAGCTCAGCAGGCACCTCCTCCTTAATCCACACGCGTTGCACCAAGTGGTGCAGCGCAGTCAACAACGCCTGTCCGCCGTGTTTCAATACTTCAGGCGGGATCCCGTCGGCCCCACCACACTTGCGGTTTCGCAGCTGAGCAAGTGCTCTCTGCGTCTCATCCAGTGTCGGCGTATCCGCCAGATCCGCCTTCACATCGTGCTGCTTGAGGCCGTTCAATGTAGGCCAGTCGATATCTGAACGGTTGTTCAAGAAACAGGCAAAATGATTTCGCCACATCTGCATTATGTCTGCAGTCTGTGTGCAGGTAACGCCTGAACTACCATTGATCAGTGTCCTCAGCGGCTTCAATCTCGATCCATATACCGCCTTCAAGGAGTCAAAGAATTCCTTGTATTGGCGGCATTTGGCGTAGCATTCCATCTGCTTCATCTTCTCCGTCCACCATGCATATTTTATGCGACGGAGCTCTCGGGTCAGTCGCCATGGACGTTTGCGAAACTGACTACTCTTTCCCAAGTCACTGGGGTCTGCCACATGTGCAACAAATGCTGCATTCTTCTCCGACACCAATGCGCCGATCGTCGCATTGTTGTCATCAAACCAATCAGGCCGCTTACAGTATGCGCGCCCGATGGTCTCCTCGGCAGCAGCCGTCACCTGGTCGCGAATGTGGTGCCACAGGTCGCCCACAGTGGCTATGCAGTCCACATCACACAGGCGTGCAGCCATCGCCTTCTCCAGCTCAGTATGTTTCGCCACAGTACCGAGGGAGAGAATGTTAAATTTACGCCGAGTAACGGCGGGAGTGCAATATATAGATTTACGAAAATATATGTACAGTTTGGTCAGCACCAACTTGTGATCAGTGCCACACTCAGATCCACGCAGTACACGTGTCATGCGCACTTCACGAATGTCACGCTGACGTACGATGACATAGTCGAGCAGGTGGGCGTGACCACTCCGTGGGTGCGTCCAAGTTGCTATATCACTCGCACTCAGTGCATATATATATATATATATATATATATATATATATATATATATATATATATATATATATATATATATACAGGTGCAATCTTCAACATTGCCGCAAATCAGCATTGGTGCTGAAGTATTGGAAACCACCTCCTGCTTCAGCTACCTTGGGAGTGTGATTTCGACTGATCAGCAGCTACACGTTGAGTTGCGTATTCGCGTGTCGAAGGCGGCAGCGGCATTCGGGCAGCTTGAGTACCGAATGTGGAACAACCATCAGCTTACCATTGGCACGAAGCTGATGGTGTACAAATCCATGGTACTGTCCGTTCTTCTATACGACAGTGAAACGTGGACGATGTACCGTCGGGATGTGCGATATCTCGAGCGGCTTCATCAGCAGTGTCTGCGTCGAATTTTGCGGATCGGTTGGGGCACCAGAGTGGCAGACACGGAAGTGTTGCGCCGAAGTGGGATGTATGCAGTGGACTGCATACTTTTATTGAGGCACCTGAGGTGGCTCGGTCATGTGAGCCGTATGGATTCGACGCGGATACCGAAACAACTTTTATACGGTCAGCTGAGTATTGGGAAGCGGCACGTGGGGAAACCAAAGTTACGTTACCAGGACATGATCAAAGTGAGTCTCACACGTTCTAAGCTTGATTGCAGATCATGGGAATCGAAGGCGGTTGATGGGCGTGCATGGCGCGATCTAATCACGAAGGCAGTTGCTGAATTGTGGGAGAAAGCCCTCATGCATGCAGAGAAGAAGCGGCAAGTGCGGAAGCAGCAAGCACCGATGGGTTGTACTCCATCGACATCGAGCGCATGGTGCTGTAGAACATGCGGTCGCGAGTGCCTTAGTCAGGCAGGCCTAGTGAGCCATGAGAGAGGCCCCTCGGGACCACTGCCGAAGCGACGACGGGTCCCGCAGTGAACGTAGGCAGAACCGGCGCAGCGCTTGTAGGCACGCTGCATTCGATTTACTAACCGCGTGCTTGCATGCTAAGTCTCTTTATTTCAGGTGGTGGGTTTTCGGTTCTCTCCTATTGCCTTTCTTTCTCATATAAATGTCTAGTGGGCCATGAGCTATGCCATTAGGGGCCACTACTGAAGCGACGACGGGCCATACAGAGAATTACGGCGAGCCGGCACAGCGTTTGTAGGCACGCTGAATTCGATTTACTAACCGCACGCTTGCATGCTAAGTCTCTTTATTTCAGGTGGTGGGTTTACAGTTTTTACCTTAATGCTTTTCTTGCTCATATAAATATCTCCCTGTACTCTATTTCATTAACTTGCAAACATCGCCTAAGCCAATTGTATTCGATTTCCATAACATTTACGTGTTCGTGGCATTCCGTGAGCTATACTTTCTGACCTTGTGCACTTAGCTAGGATTTGTTTGTAATCATTTTATTACATATGTTATTTAATTTAGGTTTATATCACCGTTTCCTCATGCATTAATCGAGTTTTTCTCTTTTGCTTTCTCTCTTTCAAGTGTTTGGTTGTTGGTTGATATCCCCGGTGTGGCTGCGCTTGATGTGCATGTTGACAAGGTGCCTACCTGTCTATTATCCACTACCTCGCCCATACTGGCTCCAGGAGACAGTTGGTCGTTGCTGGAGGGGACAGGGTGCACAGTCCTTGTGGCCGTGTTAGGCTCGAAGAGTGGTTCCATGCAGTCAGTGTGGAGCGGACTACGGTCCAGCCACCGCCTTGTGTGCGCTTGATTCCCCAAATACAGTGTGCTTGTGTTGGTTTGTGAAGGAGTGTGGGCCGGCTCTATGGATGAAACGTGGTTCCCATCCGCATGCCTCCCGGTCTTATTCCTTCGGGTTTACACTGGATATGGGGTGTAGTTGGAGCTGTGGGTGGTGCAGCGCAAGCCCATCCATGGTCCCTCTGTAGGCGCAGGCGTCCTGTGGCTTACCACATTGACAGGCAAATCCGAAACCGGATGCCGCCAACCATATATAGCCTATTAGCCTGTAATTTCACGGTTTTCCTCTTTTAAAGCAGTTTAATACCTTTGCATGCCAGAAACTGTTGAAATCATTTTCTTTTATGTCATTCAGCTGGCAGGCTGGTGGAACGTCATCACCAACACCCGGGGTGTTCAAGGTGTACACGAATACACCCTGACGATTAAAGTGTTAAAGAGTGGGAAACTTAAACGCCGGCAGTTTAACGCGGGTCTACCGACGAGATGTGTCTTATGGATGGTGCGATAAAGTAGCTGCAGATGCTAGAGCTTCAGCGGCCTCGCAACTGTTATTAACCGAAGTAGCAAATAAAGAAAGTAAGCTTGCGGTGGAGGCCGGATTTGGAGTAAGAGAGACGTGTAGAAAGGAAAGAAGGGAGGCGCCAGCAGTAGCATGTTTTCGCTTATCCGCCTTACTATATGCAACTGATAAGACGACACTTGATAAGTTGCGCGAAGACCAATGCATGATGTTGCTGCTTTTTGATGAAATAGTTTTGGTCATACTTAATCCGAGGTACTTGCATGGTGCCATAACATAGAGAGGTGAACGATTAGGGTCCTCAAACAAGGTATTTGGTGCAAAGGCATGGCCGCAACCTAGCCGGGAGGTAACAACAATTCGGTGTTACAGAAATGGACGCCTTCACAGTTCCAACCTCTAACTTGGACGACCAAGAGGCTGGGTTTCTGACCTCGAAGCGTAGACCAACCTGGTGGGACTAGCTCTAGAGGACTTCCAGGGCGTCAGGAAAGCATCACCATGCGGCCCACTCTAGACGAGTTGGTTGATCTTGTAAGCAACGGCATGGGAGTAAGAAAACACTTCCTCTGTTTGGTAGACCCGTTTCCGTGTGCTCGACACGAGGGATCGGTAAAACTAAAACAAAAAATCACGTCATCATCTCTGTAGAATTCAAATGAGAATGGACTGCAAAGATGTAAATCGTCCAAAGATTATTTTCTTTAACATGGTAAAGCAACAAGACTTTTATCAAATAGACAGGACCTTCAACGCGTTTGGTGTATTTGTGGGTGGTGGCTTACAACTAAGTTCATCCCATCATATTAGATCATGTGAAATGGTGATGTTCTGAAAAGTTAGTGAATTTAAACACTGAAGTTAAGTACGATGCCTTCAACCCCTTTTGTTCCTAGATGGTTCTTTAGATGAATTAGCAAACGTTTGAGTTGCACACCTCACCAATATCTTACACGAAAGTGGTTTAATCTGTCAGGTTTATAAGTAGTATAACAACTCTCAGATACCGTCATTTGGACGTGCTGGCCATTCATAGTGAAAAATGAAAGCCACGGTTTCTAAAAAATTCACTATCCAGCATTACGTTTATCCTTCCCGACCATCTCGTATTAACATGAGTAATATGTTCATTGAAAATTTCCTATTGTTGAACAACCTCATCAGTGAAGTACGACGTGCGAGTTAACCGTTAAAATAATATCACTACGGCAAGCAGTTTCATTATTTTTCTACGTTGAATCTACTATCACTGGTTCAGGACTAACTCATAGCTTCGCCACTTTGGCTGACGTGCATGTCCTGATCTTTAGCATTCGTGCGAACTGAGTTAATAACACATGAGACAGAAAATTTGGGAATCTAAACTCAGCACTGAGCTCCGTGTATAATTGACAAATCCAAATGTAATGTGTATTGGGAATAAAGCTACTCAATGTCATTTTGTGTTTTTTACATCATCTCTGACTCAACAGCGTAATTCCTCTTTCGCCACCCAACTCTGTCAAATAACAACTAAAATTCAGTGCTGAATGCCGTTCACTTAGGCTCAATTCGCTTACCAACTAGAAGTGAGGATGGGTTTTATTCACGTAGGAGGACTCACCAGTGCGTCCTTCCACCTTCCTTTACACAGTAGCTGACAACTGGGCTCGGGGCGGTGGTAAACTTTTCGCCTTAAATGAGAGCAGAATAGGGGCGTGAAGGCCACGTAAAGTGCACATTATTTTTCGACGAAATGGCTGATCTTTTTTGACACTGCGATTAATGTGTTGAAAGTGACCACAATGGGACAAGTAAGGGGATTGCTGGGAAGTACGTTGCCAAAAGTGTGACGAACGACACAAATGTGTTGCTGGGCATACAGTAACATTAAAATCAACTCTCAGCCTACCCGGATATTTTACCCTTTATATTTGGTAACGACAAATGGACAGTACTAAAAATGCCGCCCCTATCGCATGCCGCCTTCTGTCGCATGCGGCTCTGGGCGGACCGCCCACCCCTCGCCCCTTGTGACACGGCTCCACAAGGTGTGGATAAGAGCAAGTATAACAAGTAAAAACGTCTATGAAATAGTAGAATCATGCATATTTATTAACAGTTTGATAGAGCAAATGATTTCTGTCGTGTTTACCAGGCCGTACCGCCATGTTTACGCCGCTTGCTTACACTGAACGGCCTAATGTGACCGGTTGTGTTGTCCGCAAACAGGCTGACGCAGATAGTTCACGACAATCAGACCCGCATTATTCAGCAAAGCCAAACCGGCTACAATTCATAAGATTCCCTGCAGCCAACTGCGTTGGCCTCTTGTTCATCCACGTTACCACCACAACCACAATTGGCTGAGGTGTCGGTGCACGTGTCGGGGGCACCAAAACACAAAGTACGGTCAAGAATTGGCCTTGACATGTATACAGGTTTGAACATGTATATCTCTTCGGAGCGCCTGATTTCGTCATCTTTGTGGCAGCCATTCCGTGGGCACGTAGATGGCCGACTGTGAGCTCCAGCTATCGAATCCGAAATAGTATCAAAGAAAACAGGTTGCCCGGAAATACGCCCGCTCCTACTGTTGAGGGACGCTACATTATGCAATACAGGATCGCGACAGGAAACTTTTCAAGGCCGAAGGTAGTCCACCATCAGAAGACGGCGCCCTATCCTTTTGTTGTCATCTAAATAAAAAGAAGCAAACCGGGAGCTACTAAATCATTCCAAGCTGATTACACACCAAAACAAGTAAAGCAATTCTAAATCACACTGCTCCCTCCCATCAATCTCACAGTTCTAAAAAAATTGTATATGGGACAAATGCTCCTAAATTACAGCTAGTGACATGATCTCGCGTTAAATCCACGCGATACAGTAGAGCTACTCTACTGGATCCTTGTTGACAATCCACTCTGCCCGACTAAATTAGTATACTCAGTACACACTTACAGCCGTGTGGCCAACAGACGAAGGTCGTTTGTTTTACGAACGCATACACTCACAGGTACGGGTGAATTCTGATGTCACCTATCTGACTTCATCAAAAAGGATTGCATAGATATTATGGTACTTGTTGAAGGCTTAAATGTACTGGTCAGCAAACTTAGATTTGGCGAACGTGAAGTCTGCGTTCCACATAGCCAGGGAACTTGCAGGACAGACAACATAGATGATCTAATTACGCTTTGCGCTGCTCATGGATTGTATCACGTGCATCAGCTCTACACTTATCCGACTTTGGCCAACACATCTTCAGAGTGGCTACCACAGCGTTTGTGACTAAGTTTTAGCTTCATGAATTCTTAGCAGAAACCGCCAAATTTGGACCATGAAACAGCCTGTACAGCACAAAATATGGTATGCGGAGTGCGGCGTTAAAGCGCCACTAAGCAGAACACATGGGTTCTCATAAGCTAGCCGATGCCAAAGGTTGGTTTGCTAAGATAACTAACAGAAGCTCACATGTATGCATGTAATATTGTGTTGCAATGTAAGCTCCCGGGAATTCGTAGGAAGCTGGCAGAACAACAATCCAACAATCCATAAAAACTACAAACACTTGTCACTCGTTTATGCTGCTTGACAACAGTTGCTGGGGTGGTGAGTTAGCTATAGTTACCAACTCCTGCTACGTGATGCTGAAGTCACGTTCGGATTTATGTAGATCGCTAAACGTACTTCCCAATTAACAAACCAATAAACAACTGTGCACATAAACTAACACAAATGATTTTCGCTTGGAGTTGCACCACTAACTGAGCAATGAAAATGACGTACTATCAAATATGACTCATTCTGCTTTTTCTTCACTTGTATGCAGTTACTGGCTGCTATATTGCATGTGACGAGCAGGTCACAAGGGTCATTGTGGTCGCTTTGAATCAAGAGTAGACCCAATTCATGTGGAACCTTTGGATTACCTCCTAAGCTCGTTTCCTGATACATTCTCAACTGGTACATGAAAGGCGGGCAGAGGAACTCTAGCTGAACAGTTGAATGTAATGTATATCGTGGAGTATCCATACAGTGTGTTGATGAGTGAGCGGAGAAATTTCTGAACGCCAAAAGGTTACGAGAATAAGTACTCTTCCATTCAAATCTTTAAAAGTCGCTACTTGGCTGGTGTCGATACCGGAAAGTTTCCACGGATCATCAAATGTGGTTGGATGTGTTATTTCCGTTTACGGTCAACTAGATAGATTTATGTTCCATGATGGCTAATTTGCGGATGACGCTACCGCTTGCAGTTGCTCGTAGCGTACAGCATTAGACAGCGTGGCACAGCATCTCGACGGAAGTGGATCACGCGGACGAACGCCCGGATCAAACGTGTCCAATGTCTTAGTCAGCTAGTGAATACAGATTGTTATTAATAGTTTGTAACACCATTGATATTGGCCAAGTAATCGACGTCGAGAATCGAGAGTGCTCCCTTCAAACTCAATTATACTGATCATAGTAAACGACTAATTATTCGCCTTTATCATTCACTTAGGAATACAGTCCATCGGAAGTACACATCACACTGACAATCTATGATTCACACAGATAATGAACCCAAAAGCTACGTAATACAAGCTGCAAATGACCCGCTCGAAATGCCCATCCCAGCAATGAAAGTAGTTTAATTAATTCTCCCTCACGTGCCACCATCCCAACGGAACCCAAGGCACTTGCATTAGCAACTGATTTGAAATCTAATTTATTCTTCAGCACGTCACGTAACCTCAACCCGCACGTCTTCAGCTTGACACGCCTTCTCTCCTAGCCTGCTATCTCACGGCTCTGAGTAGCTGGGCTACGAAGGTGTTATCGCGTGTCATATGCGCCCGCGCCATGCGTTCAGTGGGATTTTACCGCCCATCACACAGGCCACCCACAAGGTATTCGAAACGGTCTGGTTTAAGTTCGGACTTCCAAAATGTCTAGGTATTGGCAACAACTCCGTGTAAGTGAAATGATCACTAGCGTGTGCAGCGGGGCCGTATGTTAAAAGGCACGTCCTCATATTACAGGTCAAGTAATGCCTTGCGAAGGACACTCAACGGCGGCATCTACAGCGCAGGGGTGCTGGGTAGGTCGTCTTGTGCTCCGTTAAATATCATGAGAAGTAACAGTGCTTTGTGTCAGTGACAATGTGACCGCCTCTGGAGTCAAGCACGACTCACCTCTGCAATCAGAATTACATTTTTGCTGGTGGACGAACCACAATGACTACTGGGTTCTCTACGGAATGGAACAGGAATAAGGCGTACCAAATATCTTCATATCTGACGATGAGTTCCGCGGTGCAGGAAACCTTTCGTGGCCTTTGCAGTACCACACGCCTGCTCTGTATACCTGAACAGTTTTTGCTACTGGAGCATGTGCTATCCACCTTTTGGTAGTTTGTTTCCAGAGGTTTGTGATATATGTTAGTCATCCCGTTGTCTTACTACTCAGGTCTTTACGGCAATAAAAATCCTTATTTGGCCTCTCAATCTGGGCCAAGTCGAATCACCATGCCCGAACAACTTATCGACCAAGTATCAACGCCTTTCTAATCATCGATTTTGCTCTCTGGAACCCTATAAGCAGCAGACATGCTGGCAGCGAAGCCTGCTAACTAGTGCTATACTGCACCAAAATCTGGTTACTTCATCCCAAATTCGTTCAGTCATCCATGCTGGATGACCCTCACTATTTCGAGAGGGGGGAGAATTATTGTCGTAAGGATCGGTAGCTCAGGTCTGAAAGTGCACTACCCAGTTGCACTGGCAGTTCCTTTCCAGAACTTGTGCTCAATTCAATCTAGCTAGTTTCAGGATGCTGATGCAGATCAAACTATAAGCACCCTTTACGTGCAACCTGGAAACCATCAAAGTTGATAGCTGTTTCACTGAGACCCATTTAAAAACTCTGAAATGATAGAGGCTAATTCTACCGTCCACGTTTTCCGCTGACATATTTTGCATTGCGCCTATCGGAAGACGCGACTGTGGAAGCTGCTGATCATATCGGCATGATGGGTCACGTTAAATTCACGCGATACAGTAGAGCTACTCTACTGGATCCTTGTTGACAATCCACTCTGCCCGACTAAATTAGTATACTCAGTACACACTTACAGCCGTGTGGCCAACAGACGAAGGTCGTTTGTTTTACGAACGCATACACCCACAGGTACGGGTGAATTCTCATGTCACCTATCTGACTTCATCAAAAAGGATTGCATAGATATTATGATACTTGCTGAAGGCTTAAATGCACTGGTCAGCAAACTTAGATTTGGCGAACGTGAAGTCTGCGTTCCACATAGCCAGGGAATTTGTAGCTTGCTTGCTTGTAAATTAGCTGGCGAAATGTCGGTTCGTTAATTTGGAGTCGTGATTTACCTCACATCGACTGGTGTGCAGCCACTATATTTATCATAAGCTCCGTTTGGATAATTATCAGTGTTATTCCGTGCTAGTGGACGTGAGTTCCCGAGGTGGGGAATTTCCGGTCCTCAGTCAACTGACAGACAACAAATCGCCCGTTATGTTTGCCAACAGCTGATGTAACAAGAAGATCAAGGCACAGATATCACATCTAAATTCAGTCCGTGCGGTGACTTATTCTCACTTCGGCAGTGGTAGACAGATCTCACACTGATAGTATAAGATGCCGACGAGCATCCCGGTCGGCTGCCCCACTCCACTTCAAAGAATGTCCAATGTTTTGCAAAGTGTGAACGAACACTCACTTTCCACCGATGTGAGTGGCTACATCACACATCACATCACGTCATCTATCTGACGGGATGAGAGTTTATTATAACTTGTCTGCATGATTGTTGAACAGCGCAGGCAACTGTGGTTAATGGGTCCGAATGAAAGGATAGTTCAAGGCACGATAGTTGAGCAAAATGACTCAATGAGTGTATCACACAAATTGTGCTATTTCAAAGGAAGTCAAAATATATTAAGTACAGTCGAACCCGCTTTATTGTAAAACCAGTTTATAGCCCACCCCCTTTATTGTCCAATTTTTCAAAATACCTATTTTCTCGTAAATACGCTAATTTTTCATCGTCTAATTGCCCACTGCCGGGGTCTTCCCATCGCTTAATTTTCCACTTGCGTGGGCCGTGCTCTTGTCGCTTTGTTAATTTTACACCCTAACTCTGACTATCTTTTATTACAATTACCTCACAGCTAACCAGTCCGATGGAGTCAAGAACAACAAAGATGTCGGCGGCTTTATTGACAGATCAGAAAGGATAGCTACGTCATACAATTCACGAACAAGATAAATGTACAACCGACTGCAGGCAAACCCTCGGCCATATTCAAAACTTGAGAACTAAGCAAAGTCGGGTAATCCATCCGCACCACATTTGTCAGTGCTCTGTTGGCTACACACAAGTATGCATGGTGACCGAAAGTTGTCTTTGACAGAAAAGTTTGACATTTTGAACATAATTAAAACTTATCCACTAAGAACCTCGCAGTCCAATTTGTCGCATGATTTACACATTTCTTGTCGCACCCTATCCAGGTTGATTGCCAGCGAAAATGAACTCCGGCACGCTCTCAGAAAAGGAAGCGATATGGAAAGGATGAAGAAATTGAAGCTTCATTGAAAGATTGAATGAAATCGGTTGGTGAACACAACCAAACAGTTACAGGCCCCCTTCTGAAGCAAAAGTCAGAGGAATTCGGAGATAGCCTTGAGAAAACATTTGGTGCCACAGAGAAATGGTTGCGAAGGTGGGAGAATAGAAAACAAATAGTGTATAAACATGTGCATGACGAAAAGAACTCCGCGGACAGAGTGGTATATGAAAATTGCCTGAAAGATCGACTACCTAAACTTTTAAATGCATTTGATGATGTCAACGTGTACAATGCAGACGAAACAGGTTTTTTAACCGAGCAAGTCTAGAGGGCACTTTGTGCTTTTCTGCTGACAAGCTGAGTTCAGCTCAGATCAGTATAGCTTTCAAGTTCTTGTGCCGTGCCAGGGCGCCATGCGGAAAGTCCTAGCTCGTGAGACTGGCCACTGTCCTCTGCACAGATGGTAAGTGGAATCGCAGCCAAAGATGAGCCGAGCTATATCATAGTCAACTGTCAATCACTCAGGTCCGCCGCTGTCACGCATGGCGAAGTGGCACTAGCTGCTGGCATGTCGAAGTCATGGGGACGGAACCCGGCAGGGGTCCACTAGGAGGCACATCACTGACCAGACCCAGAAGGTCAAAAAGCTGGCGTCTGGTGCTTTCCCAGGCTAACTTAAGCCTGCTGATGCAGAGTGACCGTGGGGAAGTAGATGAATTAGATGTGCGAATATGTCAAGCACGGATAAAATAAAACTGGTTTGATTGAAAAAGCAAGAAACCATGATGTTTCAATGACATGGACGTGGACAAAAATTCCCTAGCTTACATAGTTAACCAAAACATCTGGATGACGCAAGAACTTTCTCACAATGTGGGTCCTCAAATGGGACAAGGAGCTAAGCCAAAATTGCCGAAAAAGTATGTTGCTCTTGGATAATTGCGAAGCGCATCCACAGCTAGAAGACTTGAAACACATTCAAATGGAATTTTGCCCGCAAACACGACCAGGATTCTTCAATCCATGGATCGAGTTGTGATTATGAATCTGAATATCCGTTAAGGAAAACAATTGTGGACCGAATTCTTTATCGCATCGAAAACAACGTGTTAACTGGCTGCTCGTCAGCAGTGGATGTCAGCGCCAGAATTGTTATGCCTGATGCAATTCGGTTCGTTTCAAAAAGTTGGAGGTAGGTTAGCAGTGCGACAATAAAAGCTTGTTTTCGGTGCTCTGACTTCAATAGACTGGCATCTGATGCACTTTATGTTGACGCCGTCGTAGATGAGGACGAGATCGGCGCTTGCACAATCCCAGTCATCAATATAAAAGGGTTCGTCCTCATTGACAACTACGTGGAAGGTACCTCAGATCTGACAACTTTTGAGGATGAAATCCTCGGTAAAATTTTAGATAACCGAGCAGAACAGCAAGAAGACAACGATTCAGATGATGACGTCCGGGTGCCTCCATGAGTGACAACAATCAGCGAGTGTCGAATTCAGGAGCAAAGATCTATGTGATTTGATCTGTATAGCTGCGGACTTTTGCGTGGGCTAGGCAACGATTTCTTGTCTAAATTGGAGTTCAGCAGTGCAAAAGTGACTGGAGTAACAGCTCAAACTGATGTACAACAGACGTTGGATTGTTTCTCGGCAAAAGTATAGTGTAGCGCTAGTTTCTAAAGCTTTCCAGGTAAGATGCATTATGCTGTATTTCTTAAATTATAAGCCATACTCTTCTGAAGAAAAGTTTTTGTAGGCTTTAGTTACAATTATATATTTTATCCTTCTTAGCAAGTGATATCCTGTACAATATTTCAACGGTTGTTCCCCATTTGGAAAATGGCCATATCGATTAATTGCCCACCCCGCTTTATTGCCCACTTTTGAAATATCCCGAGGGTGGGCAATAAAGTGGGTTCGACTGTTGATACTCACTCGAAGGTTTATGTATTAAGCAAGCCCGTGCTATGTTTTTTCGTCCTGTGAATATGTTATTTGAATATCTCCCCATCACCGGAGCACAAGATTGTCACCCTGGGCGCACACATCTTGGACTAGGCCTGCTTCATACTCGGGCCAGTGCATTGTACAGCGGTCAGGAGTTACTAAGGTATTCGAAACCCCCACTTACATAATTCGCTAATGGTCAATTAGATCACCTCATTCACACAGTAGTGAATACAGCGAAAACAGAACCTTTTTAACTGAGACTAAGCTACAAGTCCTGAATAGTGGCATGATGAACACGGGGATTCAAAGTTGGGTTTGGAGTACCGGCCGTGTGATTGGATTCCGGCCAGCAATCTCTATCGAAACCTTGGTTTACTCTAAAGTAGACATCGGTCATCCAACCAATAGCACCGTATCTGAAGTGGACGGTCTTCGATGTTGATCTCGTCAAATATTGGCACTGAAACGAGGACGAG